CTCTCCCTTTCCTCACATCCCAAAGCTCAGCTCCGCAGTTCAGCACTCCGATCGCTCCCCCAGGATGCAGGAGCTTTGCCGACTCCCGTCTCTGCTCCAGCGGGTGCGTAAGGATGGGCCTGGCTCACGTTTCCTTGGAGCAGGGACAGGACACGGGTTAAGTTCCTCAGAGGGCACCATGCAGAGCCAGAAGCTGAGCATCCGACTGGCTCCCACTGTGATCTCCCATCGATCTTCACAAAATTAAAACCAGCGCTGCTGACGGAGCCCTGCCCCCTCCACGCACCTTTGGATCTGTTGCACCACCAAATCCCATCCTCCTTCCTCCTGATCCTCTCCCGGCACGTTGCCTCCCTGACACCCTGCTCCCTTCCACACCCGTCCTGTTCCCAGACCTCCGGGCACCCTCTGGGCTTTTCTTCATCCCTCTGGGCTGGTGCTTTTCGCTGGTCACCTCCCAGAAACACAACAGAATCAAGACACAACCCAGGTCACGTTAAACAGTCCAAGCTGCAATTGGGGCAGAACAGGCTGCTCTGGAGAGGAGGAGTTTTCCAAGTCTTCAGAATCTGAAGTTTTAAGGACCGATTTATCCTGTAGTAACCTTAATGTTTCGAGGAAAACGAAGCCTTTACTAAGAGGAAGATTTCCACAAACTGTCCTAATGCGTCTGTCGCTCAGCTTCTGCTCCATCTGTTCTGAGGCAGGGACAGTAAAATAGAAACTGAAACACTTGGTGCTCTTCCCCTTTCTCCAAAAGAAAGCTGGAAATCGGAAGCTTATTCCAATATTCCTTCTCTTCAGAATATTCCAATCCCCCCCCATAACAACACAGAAAAACACATATCAATGAAAGCTTTATATTTTATTTATGTAAAGGAACTTTTCACATAAAATACCACCCTAGGAAACAAAAACAAAGCCTGCCCCAGCTACGTGCTGTTTACAATCTTTAGTTCCACCTGTGTAAAGAGAAAAGGAGAGTGAAAGCGAAGTGACAGCCACGACGGGAACAAAAACCACTTAGGAATCCAGGCGGGATTTCTTCTCCTTCAAAAAAAAATTGTCTTTTCTGCACCGGGAATTCATTGGTGGTACTGGTTTCGTTTTGGTTTATTTTCTCTTCCAAAGGTTTGGAAGCCTGTGATACACAAGAAATAAAAAAGTTAACAGCTGTGAATAATTTAGTTTTACAGCCCCAGCTCTGTGTGCAGCCCCCTGGGAACACCCGGCACTCCACAAGGATCAGAACTGACCCTGCTTCCAGCTTCTATGCAGTGACCCTGAATTATCCTGCTGGAAATTTTAGGAAGGGGGAATGACAGGAGAGCAGGATAACGATTGAGCCTGAAGTGCCACACACAGGGACGAGCCGGGTCGCTCCGGGGCTAAGCATGTTGCTGTGAAGATCTCGTCACCCTGAGTCCTTCTAACGACCCCCATGATTAATTTGCAAATGTGTTCAGAGCTGGAGTAGTGAGCACCACTCGTGGGGCTTCTGGGCAGGAGACATCCCCCTCTCAGAACAGCATGCTGTCCTCATGGGTGCAGGGAAAGGAGGTACTGGGGTGAAGGAGAAGGCCCAAACATAACTGATTCTTCGGGAACAGGTTTTGATCTGCTTAAGTGCAATTTATTTTTATGCGACTCTGCTGTGAGATAAGCCAGGGTGTAAAATGGAGGCAGGGGAAGAGAGGAGGAAGGCTGCGCTCTGCCAGGGATTAGGGAGACTGGTCAGTGAACGGATGGGCAGGTGGAGATCGGGCACAACCCCAGCAGAACACCGGAGTCTGGCAGGAACAGAGCTGAGAAAGAAAACGGGCTGCAGAATCCCTGGGAAGGGTTTGATCAGGCTTCAGCCTTCCTCATTCCTAATTCTTCTGGAGAAGCACTGCAAGTATTTGTGACCCAACAATTCGGAAGGAGTGAACCTAATGATCTTAAAAACCCAGTACAATGAAATGAAACACACATCCCAAACACAGAAGAGGGGGAGGAAAGAAGTACCACCACCAAAGAGCCACCAGAGTAAACGTGGAAGGGAAACTGAGGCAAGACAGGCTGTTCACCACGCGGGAGCTGCGCTCCGCCGGGAACGCGGAGCGTGTTCCTCACCCCGCTCTGCTGGCTGGCGTGTTTCTCCGTCCACGCTTTGGCG